AGAGAGAGAGAGAGAGAGAGAGAGAGAGAGAGAGAGAGAGAGAGAGACTGTTATAATGTGGACTCTGAGGAACCTGAGGGCAGTGCCTAAAGTGGTGGTGGAAAGCACAAATGATCTTTGGCATGTTCTGTTGTTCCTCAAAAAATGTATGCTATTTCGGTTTTGTTTTTGTTTTTTGTTTTTTTTTTCCAGTGTTTAAAACATTCTCAACTGCTCTCAGTCTGAGTCTGGGAAGAGTGACTTGTTACATTTCCGTATTGTACTATGGCTTGGCAGGAGAACATGCCCAGTGGTGGCTTGAGAGAACCTGCATCTTTAGAATAGAAGCATTGTGCTTGTTAAAGCTCGCCATGGAGCAGTGCAGTGAGAGCCTTGTGCTTCATCAGTCAGGGTTTCCTCACTCAGTGCAGGCAGCATGGTAGTTGTCGTGTAGCCATGGTTTTCTTCCCTGTGCTTTCACCTGCATGTTATTAAACTCGAGATGGAAAATCCTGAAAGGTAGAGTTCATACATTTTAAATTATATGCCATTCTGAGTAGCTTTATCCAGATTGAATTTCACCAGCTCTCAGAAAACACGTCTCTGAGACAGAAGTAGATAAGCCTCCTTACCCACGGAACAACAGGTGATAGCTACAGGGTAGGGATTCCTTTTGAGATAACAGAAGTAGTATGAAGCTGACTCCACTTAAACTTGCGCAGATCTGACAATACTAAAAGTCCCTGCACTGTATGTGAGGCATCTGCTTCTACACACTGTGACAGTCAAGGTGGTGCTTTAAAACAAATATGATTATTCAGTTTGAAGACACTTATATATTAGTGGGCCCAAAACAAGAGTTTTATACCATTAAGAACATAAGTTTTTCACATAATTGCTCAGGTCTGAGTTATTCAGCTTCACAGTACCTTAACAAATCAACTTAAAGTGCAGGAAGGTTGGCTTGCCCCTATTTTGTAAGCTTCAACATACATGATCATTTTACACACACACACACACACACACCCCGTATAAGTTGGTGACGAGGCCTTGATCGGGATTGGAATACCCGAAGGCAGAACTGCTCATCTGCGCAGTGGAAACAGTGGAGGGAAGAGGCACACATTCCTCTGTCGCACCTTGGGCTGGCCACCCAGCATTTAATATGTAAGCCTGTGGCACATTTAAGATCCAAATTGCAGCAGCATTTTTGTGCTATATATACAGGCACTGTTTTAAGAATTTGGTTAAATAAATAGTTAATACAAATATTTGGCTAATTTTAAACAAAGGAACATTATTGGTTGGTCTTGTTTGCTGCTTAAAGATTTGTAAGGGATGGAATTTGAAAATATACCTGCCTATAAATTCATGTCTTATAAAAGGCTCTCTTGTCTGTATTTATCTGTAAATAAGATTAGGATGGGAAGGGTTTTTGAGTATGGATATCTTTCTGAAGGGAAAACATATCTTCATATGTATTATTTCCGCTTTGAGACTCAAAATAGATTTTCAAACATTTTAGGTATTCTTCAGAACAAAACAAACTTGTAACTCTTTCATTTTGAAAATTTACAAAAAGCATCTACCTACTTGAAGAAAACAATGTATTTTTCTAAATCAAGAGTGTTAAAAATGAGGATCTAGATGGTCAGCTCAGACACACTGTATAATGCTATCATTTTCTCCTAGTTAAAAAGCTGGCCACAGAGAACCTGCAATGCATGATAAAAACCTGCCAAGTGGGGTCAGAAGGAGAACCTGCCACCCAGCTGACTTCTCTGTTTAGGTAACTGAAAAACATGCCAACTGGCAAGTAGAGGATTGCCAGCCATTTGACAGCCAACATGCTTTTTAAATAACTAATTATCCCAAACATAATGTGTTACTACTTGTTTACAGTGTTTCAATTATAGTATTTGGGGCAGTGGTTTTTTTACACTGTGTTGTTTTATTAAAAAATAAAAGTGCCAAGGAGAAGGGTAAGTTAACTGACTTGAAATTACTTGTGTCTTCAGTAAGAAAGAATCTTGAATTTGGTTAAGAAGAAAAAGTAAGATGCATAAGTCCAGAAAACGTGTGTACCTGCTCCTCAGTGTGCTGTAAAAAATGCCTGTTCCTGGTCTTTTGACTTGCTTTAAACTTCAGAAAGCTTAACTGGGAAACATGGACTCTATAGGGGTAGAAGGTATGCCTAGCCACATTCCTGGGCCCTTCTTAACTCTTGTAGAGTCTCTCTCTCTCTCGCTCTCGCTCTCGCTCTCTCTCTGGTTTTTGTCTTTGTTTTTGTTTTTTGTTGTTTTTTTTTTTGTGTGTGTGTGTGTGTTCTCCAAGACAGGCTTTCTCTGTGTAACAGTCCTGGCTGTCCTGGAACTCACGCTGTAGATCAGGATGGCCTCAAAGTCAAAGAGATCCTTCAGTCTCTGCTTCCCGAGTATTGGGATTAAAGGTGTGTGCCACCACCGCCTGGTGGAGAGTCTTTATTAGGGCAGTTTCTTTGTGCCAATTTTCTCAGGGTCTCTACCAGCTTGATTTTATTTCACATCCCTACCTTGCCACCACATGACATGTGATTTGAGGTGTGTTTCTTCCCTGTTGTCACATGACTATACTTGTCTACTGTTTCTGGTTAATTTTAATTGTCTTTACTTTATGCTAGTGTGTTCATGAAAATTTCAAAACCTTGGGAAGAGGGAAAAGAGCGAATCTTTGTTATATATGATTTATTAAGGTACATGACTTTTATTATACTGATTGAGGAATGTGGAAATTTTAGTGGTCAAATATATGGTTTTTTATTTATAAAGAATGTCTACTCATAATATCTTTTGTTCATTTAAAACATGTAAATATCTTATGAATATTTTCTGTCCTTATACTGTATTAACTAATACAGATGTTTGATGTACTGAGAAATAACGAGGAAACTTGACTGTGCGAGCTGCCTTCCACACTCCTCCCATTCCGGTTTGAAGTGGAGAATATCATGGAAAGTCCCTAAAATTTATTTTGTTTCCCTACCTGATTCTCCTTTCGATTATTTTTCTGCTAAGTGTCGCCGAGATGGTCCTGGTGATACACACCTGTAGTCCCAGCATTCTAGGTGACTGAGGGGATAATGAGTTCTAAGTCAAGCCAGGCATGAAACTACCCTACCTCCAAAAGTTAAGAAACAAACAAGCCTTACCAGTAGTCTCCGTATAGATGCTCCCTCAGTCTTGATGAAACAATCCTTGTTACGTTCAGGTTAAAAGTGATTATGATGTATGTAACTGGCCCAAGGAATTGCCTGAGGTTGACTCTTAGATGGCCTGTTTTCCTTTCAGGCAGTTCATCCAGGACTATGGTGTGCAGTACAGTTACCAGGTGTACAGCATCCTGGAGGTGGTGGCAGCACTGAGTGGGCACATTGTCGTCCACTTGGTTCCTACCCTCACTCAGTCTCTGAAAGATTCAGAGCTGAAATGGGGCTATGGCAGGAACATTGCACAAAGGTATGTTTGATAATTATACTATTTTGAGTACCATACAATTTGTGTTTTCTCTTTTTATTAAAATGACTTATTTCCCATTTAGAAAAGTAGAATATTTTGAGATGAAGAGCGCTTCAGTGCTGTGACCTTTCAGCTGTGTAACCCCTGCCTGAGCAGTGGCGTAGCTGTGCTGGATTACACGTTTTCATTTCCTGCAGACGTGGCCACCTCAGAGCTGCACACCGCAGCTCTTTTCAAAGCAGTGTCCTTAGGAAGAGATGGGTTTGAAAGCTTCCAGTGACTTGTCTTGTGAAATCCATATTGATTATAACATTAGCTAATTAGTAGACTCCATCTTTGCAGCACAGTAAATGAAAAACATACTCTTGCAACACTGTTGGCATAGCTTCTGAGCTCTTTCATGAAATCTTTCATGGAGTCTCTGTGTACACTGGGGCAGCCTTTGCTAACGTGCTACTCTGTGTGGCCATGATATTCACAAAAGGACTGTTTCTGGTTATTCAGGATCCCATAGGTATTTAGACTAATGAAAGGACTTCATGGCAGGTATTTCTTAAAGCATTTCAACTGGTGAGCGCTATGTTAATGAACCGTAAAATTTCCTCACTGTAGACCCTGGCTCACCTTCGCTCCCTTCTTGCCCTGTTGGAGCCTGGGCCCAGAAGAAGCATGGCTTACCTGTTTCTCCACCTACATAAACCCTCTCCTTTCTGTAAAGAAAATGTAAATCCCAAGTACCACAAGTACTATAGAATATTGGAAACAGCATTTTATTTTCAAACTGCCATTCAAGTAAGGAAACGAAGCTAAAGAAAATAGGGCATTGCTGGTGTTGTGATACTGATCTTTCTTCTGGTTGTAATGTTCCATGTTTTTGTGGTGACCACCTCCCTGTTGTTATCATGCCATCCTTGTCCTTAAGCCATGTACCATGAGCGCATTTTGTCATAGATGGACATTATATTATTTCAGATGGCTAATAAGCTCTCACACCATTTAACCTTCCTTTTGTACGTATAAGTCACTCTAAGGACTGAATGGATTCTAGCACCTGAGTTTACTCTTTGCATACATGAAGCATTCTTTTTAAAGTGTTGTGCCACATCTGCTTGGTAGGTTAATAGACATTTATAAATACTTAAGTGGTGTTTTTTTTTTTTTTTTAAACAGGGAAGCATATAGCAAACTTTTATCTCACCTAGGACAGGTGGGCCAGGAGGAGAAACAGAGACTGGGAAGTGACAAAACCTGATGCTGCTGCGCCAGCTTCCTGCCTGCGTCGTCTCTAAAGCTGCTATGTGGCACCCCAGCAGGGATTTAATTAATTCTATGATGTTGTATCACAAATAATTTCCTTTTTCTCCTGCATGTATAATGTATATAAATAAGGAATGAAGGCTTATTAGTAATTGTGTAATAGGATCCTGGAACGTGAAGAGATTTTTAACTAAATTAAAGACTTTTCAAACAGAACAGCTTTTCTGTGAATGAGTATTATCCAGTTATACCAGTAACCTGTTTAGCTGCTGGTTTGTTCTGTTAACCTTCATATCTTTATTATCTTTTTGTGTTCACACTCCTTTTTCTTTCTGGCCTGTTCTGGTTTACTATTTGCAGGAAAGTGGGTATCAGGATATGGACTGCGGGGTTTCTTTGTTATAAACCAAAGTTAGCAAATAAATATCTACAGCACCTGTGAGTGGCAAGTAAAGGTGTGCTCGGCTCTCTGGAGTCGCTGTTCTGACTGACGACCATGCACACCATTTGTTTAAAGTTTTAAAAGTACATCAACAGTATTCATGTGTACATTCTGTCGATTGCTAGGATTTTTTCTCTCTTTATCTTCCAGAATTGTCATTAAAAGTCTTCTCAAGGGAGAGGAAATATAGATAGAAATTAGAGAAATAATTAATATTCTGGAAGCATCTTAAAACTACTAGTAAAAGAAGTCTGTTCTCTTGTTCCCCTTCCCTGTCTCTGCCTGCCTGCCTTCTCATGTCCCACTCCAACAGGGCTTCCTCCCCACCCAATAAACATCTGAAAAATAGAAGTCTGAGAAGTCAGCTTTCTCGTCTCCTTCCCCTCATATCTTAGTAACTTACGAAGGCTGCACATTTCACCTGCTGGGCCTTGTCCTCCTGACTCGTTTCTGTGGTGAGCATCACTAAATACAAGGAGTTCAGCTGACACATTAGGCATCGGCCTGATCACTGTGTGTCACCTAAGTGGACTGTTATTCTTGTTTTAGCCTTTGATATTTCTTACATGAGAACAATACAATTTTATCATATCAACCCTTCCACTTTTCTCCAGTTGTTTTCTCCATTTTTCTCCTCCCATGGTCTCCTCACATGCATTCTCCTCTCATGTCCTCAGTTTTAGATAACTATATCACATACTGACTGGCTAATGTTACGCATATTCACATGGGTGTATGACTAACTCCGGGATCAGGAGCAGCATACCAATAACCATGTCACCAAGGAAAACTGACTCTTAGTAGCCTTCAACTTTTGCCTGTAGCTCCTCAAACAGGGGTGTGGCCTTATGAGCCTTTCCCCAGGCATGCTAGAATGGGGACTGTCTCATTAATGTGCAGTTTGTGTAGAGACAACTACACTCTTTCGAAGTCATGAGTGCAACATCCCTATCATGTCCAAAAGATACTGAACCTCATGGTATTTCTCTGAACCTCTGGCTCTTAAATTCTGCCCCCTCCTAGCAACGTTGTCTCAACCTTGGGCGTGGGCTTGTGTTATAGGTGTCCCATATGGGGATAGGCACTCTAGAGTCACTTAGTCTCTGTTTGTTGACCTGATATTCTCTGCAAAAAGATGTTTCTCTAGTGAGGGTTGAGAACCACATTCAATGGGTACTTAGAAGACATTTGGATACTATATTAGTTCATTACAAAGGAAGGAGGAGGTTCTCTTCTAGGTCTGTGACCCCTTCCTTCAGCCAAGGGTTCTTTCTTGGCCAGACTTACAGTATAAGGCTTGAGTTCTCTTATTTAAATCCAATCACACAACTATTGATTACCTGCATAATTGCCACTGTTAACCACATGGTCTGTACTGTCAGGCTGGTCATGATTGTAGTTCTCAAGGTTCACAGTTGGGTAGGACTGTAATACCCTTCTCCATAGTACCTGCCTAGTACCTTCCAATGCTATAAAAGGTAGCCATTGGGGAGGAATTTCTCCGGGCCAGTATACACTTACTTGATTTCCCCAAGTCCTGTGGTCAAAGTCTTTCACCATAGGGTCTTACCCTCAAGTTCCAGGAGACAAGCAGAAGCAATAGTCTGTATTTTGGGGGAGACCCAGGGATCTAACTCAGGTCATCAGACTGTACTGTGTGTGTGTGTGTGTGTGTGTGTGTGTGTGTGTGTGTGTAAGAGGGGGGAGAACAGAGGCAATGAATTTGAGGAGTGGGGGGGGTCAAGGAAGAGGTTACAAAGAAGAAATGGAAGAAGGAATGCTATAAATACAGTGTTCATATAAGAAATTCTCAAGCATAAATAAATAAGAGGACAAAGCTGGCTAAAAAAGGGAAAGGAGTACTTGCTGCTCTTCCAGAGAATGTACATTTAGTTCCACACAGCCACCTTAGGAATCACATAATCATCTATACCTCTAGCTTCAGTAAATCTGTTACCCTCTTTTGGCCTCTGCTGGTACCTACACACCACCTGTAGGAAACACAAATGCAAACACACATACACACATATATTTAAAATAAGTGGTTGAGAGATAGTTTTAAAAGTATACAACATCTGGGCTGGGTGGTTGTAGCACACGCCTTTAATCCTAGCACTCAGGAGGCAGCGTTAGCTGCATTTCAGTGAGTGCAAGGCCAGCCTGGTCTACAGAGCAATTTCCCAGTACAGGCTCCAAAACTACACAGAGAAATCCTGTCTCGAAAAACAAAAAGAAAAAAAGAAAAAATGATGTGAAATGTCTTTCTGTGTACGTGTTAATTTTATTGGTTGATGAATAAAACTGTTTGGGCCAATGGCATAGCAAAGTAAAGCCAGAAAGGAAATCCAAACAGAGATAATGAGAGATGTAGTGAAGGAGAAGGACCCGGACCCTTACTGGTAAGCCACAGCCTTACACAGATTAATAGAAATGGATTAATTTAATATGTAAGAGCTAGCTAAAAATACGCCTACGCTATTGGTCAAACAGTGTTGTAATTAATATAGTTTCTGTGTGATTATTTGGGTCTGGGCAGCCAGGAAACCAAAGGGCAAACTCTGTTTGCAACAACAACAAAAAGACAAAGTATACAACATCCTTTGCAATCAGGGGAATGAAAATTAAAACATCTTACCCCAGTTTGAATGGCATTTATCTGGAAAGCAAATGCTGGCTAGGATGTGAAGAATGGGGAAGACTTATTCACTATTAGAGTATGTCTTAGGGTTTCTGTTGCTATGCAGAGATATCATGACCACAGCAACTCTGTAAGGAGAAATTTAATTGGGGCTAGCTTACAGTTCAGAGATTTAGTCCATTGTCATGGTGGGAAGTATGGCTACATGCAGGCAGATTTGGTGCTGGAGAGGTAGCTGAGAGTTCCACATACAGATTAGCAGACAGCAGAGAAAGAGTGAGCCATTGGGTGGGCCTGACTTGAGCATTTGAGACTTCATAGGCCACTCCCAGTGACACACCTCTCCAACAGTGCTACGTCTATTCCAACAAGGCCACATCTAAGAGTGTCACTATGGGCCTATGAGGGCTATTTTCATTCAAACCACTAGAGTGCAAACTGATGTCATCCACAGTAGGAATCAGTAGACCTTAAAACTGAAAGCAGGACTATGGTAAGACACAGCTGTCCCACCTCTGGGCATGCACCCAAAGAACTCTATGTTCTACTTCAGAGATAATTGTTCAGTCATGTTCTCTGCTGCCCTATTCACAATCACCAGTGTCCTGATTGGCTTACTGTGAACTTGACACAAGTAAGAGTTAGCTGGGAAGAGTAAACTCAGTTGAGTAGATGTCTCCCCCAGATTGCTTGTATGCAGGTCTGTCGTGCATTCTTTGGTAACAGATTGATAGAGGAAGGTCCAATCCACTGAGAACCATGTCACTTCTTAGTAGGTGGCTCAGGGTAGTAGAAGAAAGCAAGATGAGGCAGCTCATAAGCAGTGTTCCTCCATGTCCTCTGCTTCTGCCTTGAGCTCCTGCCCTGCCCTTAATAATGGACTGCCACTACAAGCTGAAAGCAACCCTTTCCCTCCCCAGTTGTTTTTGGTTATGGTGTACATCACAGCAGTAAAAAAAAAAAAAAAAATTCAGGCAGCCATAAAATTGACAGTTTCTTTCATTTCTTTCAAGTTTCCTTTCTCCAGCCTTGCTCACTTTCTCAGAACACTGTTCATTCTGCTCTCAGGTTCATTCAATGGGCCAGCACGGTGTATCATTCTTTTCATAATGGCTGAAAATTAATAAATTTAATTTCTATAGAAACTTAAAGCAGTAAAAAGGAAGAAAAATGTAAGTATTGGGCATGTGAGCATTCCAGTCAGATACCTATAAATCACCAGATGGGATGAGTATAAAAGATGAGCGAAGGGCAACAGAGTGATGAAAATGTTTTATTAGACATTAAGATTTAGTTTTGATTTAAACTTCAATTTAATTAGCATCTAACTAGGTAGGTGAGAGAAATTTGGAGGATGATCTGCAAAAATCAATGAGTACAGAGTTCATTTGCACTAGAAAGGTTTCATAATTTTAAATGTCTATATATCATTTTTCTCTTAAGTAAAGTCATGTGGTACATGATGTTTCAGTGATAGGACTCACCAAGGTAATCCCATGAGATTATGGCAGATCTCCAACGTCCCTACCACCTAGGTACATTGCCATTGTAACATCACAGTGGAATATAGTCAACACAAGTAGTGACACTGGGACAGGTGAGCCCACCACCCTGCCAGACAGAACTATATATAGCCCGTATAACTATGTACAGTACATACGACTTCATGATAGATGACTTGGTGCTTTGTGTACTTATTACCCCTCTTGTTTTAGATTGTATGCCTACTATATAAAAGTACTCAGAAAAACTTATTGTAAAACAGTAAGCCTTATTACACCAGCACCACATATCTGGATAGCGTCCAGAGGCCACAAATGATTGACTACCACCTATCGTGCTAGTACAATGATTTTGCCTAAGGATGCATTTCTCAGAATACATCCCGGCCATTAAGTGATGGATGACTGCATTTGACTTGCTTTTCTATCTCAGCATTTATTTTAGAAAGTAGTATTTTTATTATGTCTTGGACTGATGGATGTCTGTTATCCTGTGGCTTCTATCAGACCTTTCCTCAAGTTTGCTGTGTTTGGTTTAGTGGTTTGTTGCATTTGCTTGGTGATTTTGTTTTGTTGACATGGGGGCTCAGTGTATGAATTCAGGCTAGCCACACTCAATCTCAAAATCCTTGCCGTAGGCACTCCAGTGGCAGGAATACAGGTATGTGCTCCACACTGACTTCACTTTTTAAAATAATGTTTTTCTTTATCCACCTGTATATGTGTGTGTGTGCACATACATTAGGTCAGAGGACAACTTGGAGAAATCAATTCTCTTCTCTCACCATGTCGGTCTGAGGACTCTGACGCAGGCCTTCAAACTTGGTGATAAACACCTCTACCATGTTCTTCCTCATTTATAAGACACTTTGTTCTTAAGTAATATTTGGGCTTATTTCCATATGTTCTCAACAAATGTTTCTCTCTTGTTAGGTTTTGCTCTTATTTCTGTTCTTTTTTGAGTGTCCTGCTGTTTAGCCAAGGCCAGCCTTAAATGTCCAATCCTCTACCTCAGCCTCCCACCGAGGGTTTGAGTGAGGGAGTGACAGGTGTCCATCATCAGAATAATCACACAGTTTCCACAGGATCTTTGGCAGTTAATATTTTATCTAAAAGTTGGTATCTTTCTGCACTTTGGGGAAACCCTCAAGGAAGTTTGATCTCTCCACGCCCTACATCTTCTTTCCTGCACTGAGGAAATGCCTAGCCTTCTTAGAGTCAAATATATTGCCTAGTCAAGCAGGAGTGTAAAATGTCAGTAAAAACAGTGTGCTTTATTTAGTTAAAACAGTCAGTCTAGGAGTCTAGCAGAATAGCATATTCTTTCTAAATACAAGAGTTGTGTTTTCTCTGGGATCTTCTGTATGGTGAGCTTACCCGATTTGGTACCACACAATTCTAATTGACCGATTTTATTATTTTACTTATGTGTTTATTTGTGAAAGACAGGGTCAGTGTCTCTGTTTCAGGCTGGCTTCTTTGAAAACTCTTGGTAGCCAAGAGTGACCTTGAATTCGGATCCTCTGACCTCCACTTTCCAAGCAAACTGGGATTACAAGCAGGAGCTCCCACAGCTGAGCCCTAGGCTTCAGGCAGGTGAGGTAAGCACTCTACCAACCAGGCTACATCCCCGTCCTTCCTTAGAACTTTGTTGTGCCGACAGTTACTCACTTTGTTACATGTTATAGATATTATTTTGTATGTAGTTTCTAGGTTGTTTGCCTATAATAAAGATGAACGATAGGTATATCAATTTTAATGTGTGCATTTTACCTGCAGTGTGTCGCTGATTATCCAGCGAAAATAAAAGATGAGCCATGTTACTTAGAGAAACAGTATCTTTTGTTCCCATTGCATTTATAATTCGTGGGAAAACAATTGAAGGTTTCCACTTCTGCGGTAGGTGAAGGGGATGCTATGCATGTACTTAGTTGTGAAGAAAACCAGAAGGTACAAAAGGTGCCATAATCGTGATGTAGTTGGCATCTTACTTTTAAAGATTAGGGGCTTTATTGCATCTTCCATTGTAGATGGAGAGTCATGTCTTTGCCAGCTTTGCCTTTCACAACAGAATTATTGTAGAAACTCAGTTTGTGTTTTAAAGTAGAATCCTCAAGTGATATTTAGGTGCTTCAAAGTCTTTTGGTCTTTTAGGAAAAGTAAAATCCAATCTTTAATTCTGAGGATTGAAAAAAAGACAAATTACTAATGGATACTATACTTGAATAGTAGATAGGTATATAACAGTATTCCAAATGGGATTTGCATATAATATACATCAACTATAATTCCATAGATTGGTTTCCCCATTGCAGACGATTTGGGGGAAGGGAACTGTGTGATATGGATCTTCTTTTTTTGTAGTAAAGGCGTGTGAGAGTTTTGATGCTCTTCTTTGATTGGAGATGTGAAGAATATGTCCATACTCGGCAAGAAGTCTGCCATGAACACAAGGAGAAACTAACTGGTAGTTTATGCGGGCTTAGATGAATGCTTAGAAATGAATTCAGAACGTCTAAGGTTGTCATTTGGGCAAGCTTATTTTGAAACCATTTCCTTTCATTCAGGGTATAAGACCTGGGACTATAACGATTTGTTCATTTATTTGTTTGTTTGCTTGTTTGTTTACTATAGCATTATGTATCTAATGGTTTTAGAGACGTCAGTAAGTCTGAAACACTTGTTATCTATGCCTGTATGGTAAGAATTCAGCAGGGCAGGAATACACTTTCGAGACTGACAGAATGTCAAGTTCATTTCTGAAGGCTCGGAGGCAGCTTTTTAAGTGCTTGCAGCGCCTGTCCGCACCAGCAGTCGCTGCTCTGTCTGATTCCAGTTGTTACCTTTCCTCCTCGCCCTTCTCATCTCTTCATGTCCTGTACCCAGTAACTAGATCATTTTTACTCTCAGAACCATGCGTTAGGGTATCCTTATACAGTGCTTAACGTTAGTGAGATTGCTAAGATAAACAGATTGTTTTATCTGGGAGGATCATGAGTTGGGGGCCAGCATAGTTAGGTAGCCTATCGAAGCCACCCTAAACAAACAGAAAAGGGTTATTTTTTCATTTGCTTATGATGATTAAAAAAAAGAAGTGGTTCCACAGTTAATAGTTTCTGAGACATAGGCACTGCTGAAATGACCAAGCGGCAGCGGGAAAGCAGCCGTTTCATAAAAATGACCTCAAGTCTTGGCGAGATTAGGAAGACAAACGTGTTGAGTTTATGTTAAGATGTTATTATTAAGATGATTTATTTTGGCTGTAGATAAAGCGAACTCAGAAATCTAAACTAAAAATGAACTGTGCATCATTAAAAGTGGTAGTAATAAAAAATGTATTGGCAGTGGTGGGGAATCCCAGAAGCACTCAGGATTGACATAACCTTTAGTAACTTGTAAAATGTCCAGTAGAACTGCCCACTCTCAGTTCAGACTTACGTCACAGCCTTCTGTGGTACCATGGATAGTACAGCTAATTTTTTTTTTAAATGAGCATTTAAGAGAATTCTTTCAGGCAAGAATTTGTACAAGCTTAGGGATCTTTGGTATTCCTAGTTATGATAGGTACAGTGTCTTCCTGATATTCTTAGACTCATTTATCCCACAGGATGTGGTTCAGTTAACAAGGTTCTGAAATACAGTAAAACACCTTAGAATTTGAGTAGCTTTTCTTCTTAGGCAACGTTCTGAGCATTTGCCTAATTCTCACAGCATTCTTTTCAGTTAACGTGGAGATGAGCAGTTACCATCTTTTGAGGCTGTAAAGTTCCCACCCAAGGGCAGAGTAAGCAGGGCTGGAAATCTACCTTTTCCAAGTCGGCTGCTCTCATCACCTTCAGTAACACATGGCACTTAGCACTTACGACACCGCCCTGCTAACCTCTCCTGAGCAGAGCTGCTGAATGTGACGCTTTGAAAAATGACGCTCTGGTGTTTAAGCAGTGAAGGGCAGAAGTACGGAAGATTAGGAGACAACCAATGCCACTGTGAAAGGTGCCTTACTAACAGTGTCACGTGATCCTGGATGGCGCTGATAAGAACAGGGTAAGAGAAATGTCTTAAAGATCCATGAAACAGTAATGTGCCCACAGGACAGCATTAAGGTGCACCACAACAAAAATTATACATATGTGTATTAACATACATGGAAAAGAAGTGACAGAATTCTCACAATATGTTTTAGAAAATTGCTCTTTTTTTTTTTCTTTTTTGCTAGTATTTAGACAATTTTAGACCTGTAAAACATGACAGGGAAGCATGGAGCACTGAGGATGTTCGTGGCCTGTATCCAGATGTTAAGCTCTCCTTCGGGCTCCTGATGCTGTCTAACGGTGCTGGCTTCTCAGACAGTGCCGATTCTGTGATGAGGCACCTGCAGGGTCTGAAGGTTAGGGCACGTGAAATACGGAGCTGGAAGGAAGCATGCTGCTATGCCATTCGAAGCAAAGGGCAGTGTAGGTCCATAGAACACCTCTTCTTTGCCTTCTCTGCTTACATCCAGCACCTGCACAAAAAGGAGGGATAAATTACTCAAGACTGCCTATGCATGGAAGAGAGCACCCAAGGCATTACTATTTTCTCACTGTGTACACTGGTTACTTTTCTGCTGCTGCGTAAAGATATGATGACCAAAGGCAATCCTTACCAATATGCCACACAGGATTGCCAATCCTGACCAATCTTATGGAGATATTTTCTCACTGGGTTTCTTCTTCTAAGATAGCATTAACTTAATGTCAAGCTGCCAGGAAAAATATAAAACAAAACAAAACAAGTGGCCCTTTTTCAACTTGACATATGAACATATTATTATTCAACTGTAATACTTTTTCATTCATTTCCAAGATCTCATATTAATACCAATATCTCCATATAAAACGCATTCCAAACTTAGAGTCCTGTGGTCTTTAAAAATTCAAACACTTTAAAAGTTCATTCTCTAGTTAACAAGGAGAGTTTATGGGTGGACACCGGGTCTCCCTGGGAAGAGGACATAGAGGAGATTTTGTGAGCCCACTGAAGGCAGGTTGCGACGGGAACATGAGCGATGGGATTGGCTGGGGCCCTATAGGGGAGAGTGCTGAGGAGACTGCTGGAGGAGGAGCATTTCAGGGTCAGGCTGAAGCCTAGTGCAGGGGACTCTCCCAGGAGTCTATGGGGGAGGACCCAGCTTGACTCCTAACACCAGTGGATAAGTAGCCTGCATTCGCTCTCTCCTGCGACCAGACTGGTGCCTGGCCCAATTATCAGGGAAGCGTCATCCAACCACTGATGGAGGCAGATGCAGAACCCACAGCCAAATATTAGAGTTCAGGAATCCTATAGAGGAGGAAGGGAAAGGAGTGTAAGAGTCAGAGGGGTCAAGGACACCATGGGAAGGCTCACACCATCAACTAACCTGGGCTCATAGGGGCTCGCAGAGACTGAACTGAAAACCAGGGGGCCTGCGTGAGACTGACCTGGGCACTCTGCAGATATGTTACAGTCGTGCAGCTTGGTCCACTTGTGGAATTCCCAACAGTGGAAATGTGGGATGTCCCTGAATCTTTTACTGACTTTTGGAACCCTACTCCTCATATTGGCCCCTTTGCCCATCTTTAATACAAGGAAAGGTAGGTACTCAGTCTTACTGCAACTTGATAGGCCATATTTACTGATACTCACAGGAGACCTGCCATTTCCTGGATGAGATGGAAGAGGAGGGGATTGGGGTTAGGGGTGTGAAATTGGGGGGAGAGAGACTGGAAATGGAAGATGGCGGGGAGGCTGTGGCCAGGATGTAAATTAAATAAATGAATAAAAAAATAGTTCAGTCTTTTAAAACAAAACAAAATAAAAACAAACAAACAAAAAACAACAGGAAAAAAACACCTAAAATCTCACAGTTCAAACAAAGCCTCATTAAAATATCCAAAGCTTCTAAACTAGGCTCCTGTAAAATAAAGCCACAAGTTGACCACTTTCTTACTCCAAGAGGGGAGAACCAGGGCACAGTCGCATCCAAATCACAGCAAGATCAAAGTACAGCAGTGTCTGACATCTAGGACTCGACATCTTCTGGGCTCTGTCTCTGTTTCTCTAGCTCTGGTATCTGCAGCACACACAGCTTGTCACAGTCTCGGGCTGGATCCACCCTACAGCTGCTACTGTCCTTTGCAGTCATCCCATAATACTCGTGTCTCCAAAACACTGGGGTCACCACTGTATCTAGGCTGTACCTTCACCAGTAGCCTCTTCTGTGCTCTCTACAGGGACTCTGACTCTGCAACATGGTGACCGGTCTCACCGCCTGTCCATTACCCCTCCAGTCCTGGGGTTTCTACTGCAACTGAGGCTGTACCTTTACCAATGTCCTATCCTCTTCCCACACAGGCAAAATGTGAGCAGCTCTCAACGACCCCTTCATGCTTTTAAAACCGGTACCACCTGAGAAACTTCTTTCTCATTACCAGGTTCGGCTGCCAGTGTGAAATGGAGCCTTCCCGCTCCCCTCTCTGGACCACAGCATCTCAGATTTCACCTTGATGGTACTGATGCTGGTCTCCCCTTTAATGAGCACCAATTCCTCAGCTCCAGCTAACCAGGATCAATTGTCCCCCAAAGCAAAGATTCACTTTCCTAGTTCTGGTCTTTTGGTAATCTTCAGACCCAACTACCCAGAACCAATGGATTCTTAATTCAAAACATCTAATAGCTTGACAGGGTCCTTTAGGGACTCTTATACTTCCCTCGGAAACTTCACAAGTCGGGCCTCCACCATCTACACCACTCTCAGGTTTATCCTCTTAGCTCCCACAACAGATTGTGAAGCTCTGACCAGTCAATGCCTTTTCCAGCCCAGAGTTCAAATACCACATTTCTCCTGAACATACATGGTCAGGTCTGTCAAAACAATATTCCCTGCACCTGGTACTGATCTGTGTCTCAGAGTTTCTATTGCTGTGACAAACATTATTGCCAAAAGCAGTCTGGGGGAGAAGGGGTTGATCTCAGCTCACAACTCTTAGGCCACACTCCATCACAGAGAGAGACTAAGCCAGGACCTGGAGGCAGGAATGAAGCAGAAGTCATGGAGGGATGCTGCTTGCTGCTTGCCTGCTCCTATGGCTTGCTCGGCCCACTTTCTTTTGTGTCCCACGGCCACTAGCTCATGGGTAGCGCCACCCAGAATGGCCTAGGTCCTCCACATCAATCACTAATTAAGAAAATGCCCAGCAGGCTTCCCTACAGACCAGTCTTAGGGAGGCATTTTCTTGCTGGAGATTCCCTTTTCTCAGATAACTCTGGCTCATGTTGTTGACAAAGCACCTTCTCACCTCACACCCCTTCTGTCTCAACTCCTCGTGTTCTCCCCTCACCCCACCCTGCAATATCAACTTAGCTCTGTGTCTCAGACAATTGATCATATGAAAATATGAATTTCTTCCCAATAACAAAACCATTATTGTTCGCCTTTTGGCTTCAATGCCCTTGTTGGTTTCAACTGCACATCCTAAGGGAACCCCTCACTTACTCTCTCTCCTTGAAGGCTTGGATATTTTTTCTGCCATCCATATAGACAAAGCTGGTATACCCTCCTCTGGTCTGTTTCCATCAGATCTTTTTATTATTTTTTATTTTATTCTTTTTTTTTAATCTCTCCTCAACCCCCAGACAGTGTTCCTTTGTAGCTTTAAAGCCTATCCTGGAACTAGCTCTTGTAGACCAGGCTGACCTTGAACTCACAGAGCTCTGCCTGCCTCTGCCTCCCGAGTGCTGGGATTAAAGGCGTGCATCACCACTGGCCGGCTTCCAACAGCTTTTTAAGGGGTTCAAATAGCCTAGATGAAAATAGTCAGCTGCTGATGAGCAGTTTGCTTCAGGGTCAAAGCCTTCCATATTGAAACTTCTTAAGGCATAGGATGTAAAAGGGAAGTAAAACAGGATATTTGAGGACAGGATGTCTACATGGAGGTGAAACCATGGGATGTCCTAAGAGATGAAACACTTCCATCCTCAAGGGAAGCTCCTAAAAACAGGAAGTAAACAACTCCAAATGGCTCCAGGGAGTCCCTGAAACTGACCTGATTGGTTCTTTAGTCCTCTCCTTCCCCAAAAGTACAGAAACAATAAAGACTGCTAAGAGTCCCTCTTGGTCAAGCCAAGATTCCCAGAAGCTCACACAAGCAGAGCTGTGTAGGAGAGACTCAGCAGCCTGGAAGAGACAGAGACCAGTCAAACTGCCTGGAAGAGTTGCAGGCCTGCTGAGGCACCAGGAAAGGACACTACCCAAGCTGTTGAAGTGCCTGAAGACTGGGAAGTGAGCTCCAGGTTCCCAGCTTTTGGAAGCTGTTATCCATGCTGGGTGATGCAGTTGTCTGAGTCCTGTCTGCTCCTCTAAGTAATCTCTCACCCACATTCCTGTGAGTAACCCCAGTAAAACTCATTGGTTCACCAATGACTTTGGTCTGTCCTTAGTTCCCTATGGGGGTAAGTAGGCGTTTGCTCACATCTCCTCGGGGAAGAGCATCACACAATTACAACCATATTAACCCAAATAGACTTATTGCTGAATTCTGAGCTTCCTTATTGCCAAGAAAGAAGGGACCTCTTCCTCCAGGAAGAACGCGCTATTTCTATATGAACCAGTCTAGAGTGGTCTGAGAAGCAACCAAACTGTCTTCCCCCACTCCCCTGAGCCTGAGCATCTATCTGAACGCTGCTGACATACCAACTCTAGGGGGTGCTGGCTGCCCTGGCTAGCTCCTTCCTCTTCCTGGTAGTCTTTAGGCCCCGCCTCCTTAGTTCCCTAGCCTATTTTGTATTCAAGAAACTGAACTCAAGGACACCACCAAAAGACAGGTCAACAGCACCCTCCAAAATTTCTGATACCAAAGACTGCTTCAAAGACCTATCTCTGCTCAGTGAGGCCCTTGTATAACACCAAGTCACGAGAGCAACAACTGGGCTTCCCTTTCTGCCTGTCTTGGCAATGTTAATAATTACAGCCATGTGGTTGTGTGAAGTGCTACCATTTGGATTAAACAATAACAATCCATAAAGTAAAATAACTGGTTTAGATTCTAGTGTTTCCTAACCTATGGATCCCCAGAAATGCACTGATCCGCTTGTGGGGGCCAGTCATGATAAGCTATGTCTGACCAGGTCACCCAAAGGAAGTTCTTTACTTCCAACCATTTATCACCTGCCAGAGTAGAACTCGATAAATTTAATAAGAGGCCCGAGTCTCAGTAGTTTACCCTGAAGCAATACCTGGTAGCAGAAAAAAAAAAAAAAACCCAAGCTGAGATAACCCGACCATAGCCCAGGAGCAGACCCTTCAAAAGAAATGCCTGGCATTCCTCTGTAGACCTCACCAGGACAGCCCTAGACAAACGTCAGCCAATCAGGGGTCCTGAATCTCAGAGACTCCTCACTCCCACCTTTACTACTATAAAAATCCAAGTCTAATTGAGCTTGGGGCTCTCCGGTTATTCCAGTACCGTAGACATGCGGAGAGACCGA